AATTCAATTTCATTCAAAATCGTTTAATTTCAATGCTAGTTTCAATTCAATTTCAATTGGATGTCAATTCAATTTCATTTCATTATCGATTTGAAATACCAATTCAATTTCAATTCCATTTCGATCCAATTTTAATTCGATTTAATTTCAAAATCCGGTCAATATGAATCAATGCAATGTCGAAATTCGATTTCAATGCGATTTCATTTCAAAATCATTTTAATTTCAATGTTAATCCAATTTTAATTTAAAGTTGGTTCAATTTCAGTGCCGATTCAATTCAATACTAAGCCTAATTTATCGATAATTTCTCCTTCTCAAGACCCGATCATTCTACGGATTAGCTTGCGGCATATTTCTGGCACAAATTGGCAAAATTTAATGTCATTTCCATGAAATGTTATAGTTTAGCACGAAGAGAAAGCAAATCCTACACATATTCAGAATCATCTAACAATAAGTGCGCGAGTATGCACTTATCGAAAAGAATAGTCGTCGATCCTTAGCAATTTGTTCGTTTTACATCTGCATGCGAAATGAAATATTTGGAAAAATTCTAAACAATTTCAAGCATTTATACGAACTGAAAAGCAAACAAATATTTGAACGTAAATACATTTTAATACTTTCAGCACATTTGATGCATAAATGGGAAATTTTTGTTTTTATTATATAGATCCCAATGGAAATGTTTATATTATTTTCAATATAACAGAAAAAAAAAAAAAAAGAAAAAAAAGAGCAAAACTTACATTTTTTTCTATCTCATAATAATAGGCAAACGATATGTGTGTAAGTTTAGTGTATGTATGTGAAATAAAAATTTTTTTGTTTTTTTTATTTTTCTATTTTTAAAAGTCAATATTGCATCAAAGTTGTTAAGGAGGAGCACTTCAAATATTCCGCTATCAATCGATAAGATTAGAACAAATGTAAGTGTTAAACTAAGTAACTAATGACGTCGAATACAAAACTTTTTATTTAGATTAATTTTTTTATTTTTTTATTTTTTTTTTTTTCTAGGAACAATCGTCGATCAATGTCCACTGTCTAATAGAATGTAATGAAATTTAACACATAAAGCAGCTTTACTTGCACATCTGTTTTATTGCAAAGTAAAAACAAAATAAAAAATAAAAAAAAAGACGAAACTTTATAATTGTTTAAATTATTTGGCGCGTCGTTGTTAACGTTTTAAACGCTCTTAGGAAACTAAGAGAATATTTGAATAATTAACATTTAATGTTTGTCTTTGCTGGCATAGGCATGCAAACGTTTGCAAAAGTAAAGGCAAATAAATAAACCAAGACCATAAAAACGTTGATAAGGAGATGTTTTCGATGCTCTTGTTACCCCAGCACGTTCACCGATTTAAAATCAATTAAATTCTTGTAAGGTAGACAGACTGAATGAACAGCTGTCTTCTTTCAATTGTGGGGGTGTGTTCGCAGCACAGCATTTTTATACAAAATTTTTTTCACCTCCACTTTAATACTTTCATATCGATTATATGTGAATATGTTATATGTCAAGGGTGAGATAAAAGATAAATTCGAATTTATCTAGCAAGGATACCTACCATCTGTTGTAACAGAGATCCGTAAACAACCTACAACAGGACTCTGTCAAGTAGTTAGGATTTGGAAGCCTAGAACCCGTAAAATATCTTTTCGGACACCTCCCGAATCTCTATGAAAATGCCTTTCAAACAAGCTAAGCAAATTCAAAATTCTGCTCTTAGGAACTAGAGAGTAGGAATTAGAAAATGTTGCCTAGATTCTCTTACACCATCTCAATCTATATGAAAACTTTTAAGTAACTGTTTGCCTGTCAAATTCTCCTTATCTGTCTGAATATCGAAGTATGCACTCTATTAGGGTCAATCTCAAGTGACACTTAAAGAGAATCGGAGGTTGTAGATATATATCTTTTACGTTTAGGACAAGAGTGCACTGCACTTGCGCGAAAACAATATTCTTTGCTTGGTGTGAGCAGAAGATTGTTAATTGTTTTAGTTGATTGTTAAAAGCCGCTAAGGTGTGGCTAAAAGATTAGTACCAAACGTTATGTAACATTAGCATGTGTCTATACGTCCGCACAGTCTGCCTGAGCACAGAATTTCGACCTTTGTTTTTAGGACTGCACTTAAGTGTTACCTCGGAGGTTGTAGACTCGGACGCATGTGTCATTGCTGAGCTAGTTAGTTCGGGGGATATTTGTCCGTTTCGGTTACATCTAAAAGAAATACACGTACTCTAGCCTCACAAGAGTAAAAGGGCAAACGAAAGCTAGTTACCGAACGGGCAGATAGCAGTCCCTGGGCCATTCTTCACCCTCCCCTGTCCATGGTTACCTCCGGCCAAGGATTTCTAATGGACGACCCACAATTTTGAATTTCTTTAGCTCATCCGAAAGATATTTCCATATAGAAAGATATTTCTTCTAGCCGGGCAACTTTTTTGTTAACGTACCAAATTTCAAAAGGATAGTAAAAAATGGTTTCTAAAAGCAAAATTTGAATTTGTCTAGGTTGTCTCACGAGGTTTTCAAAAAGATATTTTTCACTTACCAATTCGAATATAAGAGGCTTCCAAATCCAACTGTATCTCAATCCTAACTACTTAACAGTGTTTTGTTAGACTGTTTACGGAGCTCTGCTAAGACAGATGGTAGGTATCTTTGCTAGTTAAATTCGAATTTATCTTTACAATCCTTTTATACTTCATCCTTTATTTTTTTAGTTAATTCCTTTAATAATTCCAAATTACACGTTTTATCATTTTTGAAAAACTATCGGTATTTCTCCGTTCTGCATAATTTAATATGTCATTTCTATCGCTCTAAGATTGGGGATTGTAACTCCTATAGAAATTATTCTTAGAAAACCCTTTGACAATCTATCTTTTCTGGTTGTCTAGTTGCTATTGAATTTCTACTCAAACAGATGAAGTCTGAAACGTCCACATTAGACGAAAAATCTGAAAGATTTTCATAGACCAATTTCTAATTGCAAAAAAGCTGAAAGAACCCTCGAATATCTTATTGAGAGAGATTAAATCTAAAAATAGGTCTAAATCTTACGCTATCATCCCCCAGCAGCAAGACTAAAAGAATTTCGAAAAAAAAATCAAAAATTTCGTGGAATTTTCGTCATTTGAAGTGATCTCAACCGGCTCACCAATGCCCACACATTTACATGTGACTGTTGAACGTTTAATCGTCTTGACGATGAGATGAAAATATTTATTTTAAATGAAGCTCAGCAGATTGATAAAATAACCTACAAAGTGCAGACAAACTAGCCGAGAATTCGTTTAAATATATGTACGAGATGTGCGATACGCTATATAATTAATCTATCTGGCAATAAAATATCCTATTGCTCCGATTGCCGTGAATTTCTAAGGAGAGTATTAACATGTTTTCAAACTTGACATGTTTCAAAGTTCGGCTTTTTATCTGAATTTTTAAACTCACTCTAGAAGCGATTATATATTGGAAATCGGGCAACATCTGACGTTGTATAAATATTGTTATGAAATTCGCTTTTTACAAGATACAGTCCGTATCACTGGATCGTGGATATTTTATTCAAGAGAAATGCACTTCAAAGTTCTTTTATTTTACTACTTTGTCTTTCGCAACAGTAGGAATATTTATTTACAACCTATTTTGGCCGTACTCTCAACTTCTACGTTCTTGCCAGACTAACTCTACTTTTCACAAATATTTGATTTATATACAATTTTACAAGAATGTTACTATACCTAAATTTATGGTTATGGTCTAATCCCAGCCTGGTTTTTCCTCTAATCGTTTCCATCGGCCTGCAGCTGCATGAGGCGCCTGCGAATGCTCATTTGGTTTTCCCTTCTTTAGGGAATTTATTCTTACGAAAATTACTTAGCTGACATTTAGCTGAATTTGGGATTTTCGTAACAATATGTTTCTTTGAAAATATCATAAATGTAAACACATTGAGAAAGTACTCATAAGTTTCATTTCAAAAATTTAGGGTCGAATTTCACTAAAATGTGTGGGTGGGTGTGTACAAATGAAAATTTAAAGAATTTCAAGCAAGTTAGCGGTAGTTGTCTGCGCTAATAATATGAAAAAAAAAAAATGTTTTGACATGCTTGAAATGTACACATTAGATCCGACTCGTAGATAGTTAGGAAGACGAGTAAAGATTTTCTCAGTAATACTACAGTGATCAGTAATTTCCGGGATTTCATAAGGAAAAACTTTTTCTTTTTTTTTTCTTGCTAAATTCGATTCGTAATGCAATCAATCCAATGCTTCCTTGGCATCTCGATGCATTTTAATAGAACGATTAGTCAAGATTGTGGAAACATGCTACAGTTGCCGCAATCACGTCATTATTTGACCTAATTATTTTTATCTGAAGTAATTCCTTGAAATATGCAAGCATTTCTACTTAGTGGTAGATTTGGAGAATTTAGAATAGTGTTTTGGTCAACCATTCGAACAGCAGTTGATGCACTTTTGCTATTGTAGCCATCGGCTTGTGACAAGGTAATTCCTCTTTTCTGTTCTTGGTCAAGTATTCATGCAAGATAACACATAAACTGCCTTTTGATAGCATGTTAGACACCTGTTGCAACTTCACCTTTTTATAATCAAGCATAATTTTTACGTTTTTTTTTTATTCTTTCTGGCAAGACCACACCTTTGGGCGCTTACGACCTGATTTAAATACAACGTATCACCTTCGAAAAGATGAAAAGAGTTGCCATAAGACTTTTTTAAATTTTGAACGGCATTTTTCAAAAGCCAGCATTTTGTCTACAAGCGAAATACGGATTTCTTCACTGTTTTGAAAATACCATAAGTGTAGTCATAAAAAAACCCTGTAACTCGGGAACAATTGAAGGAAATTTTCAATGTGGATATTATGCTTAGGCACAATATTTTATGGGGCAGTGTCCGATGACCGATTTGCTTATCGCTTATATTCCGATCTATTTAATTTATGAATTTTTTAAAGAATACAAGCGCGATCTCATTATGTTTAGTGTGGAAGGCTCACATCTAAATTCACGAATTTTTCAGAAAATTAATATTTTTATACCCTAAATTAAACCAAAGGTTTATAGCGAGCCCCAGGTGAACAGGCGAATTTTTGTACACATTCTCAAAGTGGGTTGAGAATTACTTCTCTTAAAATGCTGCAAAGTTAACGTCATCGTGCCTTTCACTTTCAAATGCCGTACGACTTTTGTAAGCTTCTTGCAGCTCACAAGAATCAAAATTATAAAAGATTTTTGAAAATATATTCGTTCTGCCCACTTTCTAAATAAGTTTAAATTATTAAAATCAAAGGTGTGAAAATAAATTCGATTTAACAATCTCTCTTAACAGAGCTCTGTAAACGCTAGTAAACATTAGTCTGTTAAGTAGTTATGGTGACAACATGATTGGATTTGGAGGCATTCCACCTCTTAGGGAACGGAATACGCTTCTGTGAACTTCTCATGGACCTTGAAACAAGCTAAAAGAATTTAAATTCCGCTCTTCGAACCAACTGGCTATCAGAAGATACTCAAATTTGAGACCACAGCGCCGCCAATATTCATTTATATCACGAGAATAAATCTATATAAAAATATCTCTTATACCCTTATTAAAATATATTGTTCTTGTATCGTTCATAAAAGTCGAATAATAACTAGCGTAGGATACTCTACACGTGCACAAAAGCAAAAAAACAAAAATTTGTTAAAATTTCTGATTAGAAAAAATATTTGACGTATGGCAGTACTGTACGAGTTAATTGCTGAGCATGAATGTGTTTCTTCGCAGAAGTATAACCTAAAACTCTCCTCACATATACAATCGTACAAATATTCCGAATATGTAAACATTTACAGTTAACATATCGCAAATGCTACATGAAAATGCACTAAACATACCGAAGACTAACATAGTAAGTATAATAAGAGACTAAAAAATTATACAGACACACAACGGCAATGAAAGAATTTGTTACAAGTAACATTAATTTGACGATTTTTTCACTCATCCCAGAAGATATACTCGTTTTATCAAATCTTTAGAAACAAAATTTACCCGAATCAGATCTTATACTATTTCTCATTAAAGTGAACATCACAATCAAATTAATTTTGCTTGCCGAAGATTACATTTTATGTTGTGATATATAACAAGTCTCCGCGGGATGGTAATAATACCTACATATCGAACAGCACTTCACCTTATTGCCTCTCTTTTTCTTACTAAAAACATGCAGCAAAAGCTGCAAAAAAAAATTCGTGATGTGAACGTTGAGCGACTGAAATGAACGAAACATATAGCAGTGATTGGCTCGATTCCGTTCCGGAAATTTTAATCTCAAAGATGCACACCGCCCTGGTCGATGATAATTTACCACTGGTAAACAGGACAGGCACACAAGCTGTCAGGAAATAGCAGAGGCACTATTCATCAACCACATGATTGTTTGGAATCATATGAAAAGAGCAGGCTGCAAAGAGAAGCTCGAAGTCGCGGAAAAAACCGCGGAGATTTTTTATATGACCCATTGTCAATTAGAATATCGAAATCAATCTATAAAATTCTATGATTATTAGTCTATTCATACGTATCAAAAATCTAATTCTTAGGGGCCTTTAATAAAGTTGAGAAGATCAATGATTTTTTTGGATTTCTTTTAGGAATATTTATATATATTGTACTAAATCTGTGAGGGATGCCTCAAGCGATATATAAAAAAAAAAACAAAAATATTTTTCAACGATTTTAATATATTTATTTCATTTGCTCAATTTTAGATAAATTTAGCTTTTGCTTAGCTTGTTTTGTATATCATATAATCCTAACGTTAAATAAAAAACATAAAAAAAAAACAAAAAAAAATAATAATAATAATAATAATAATAATTAAAAAGAAACCATTAAAAACTGACCATAAAGCTGTTACAGAAGATTGTTTATGCCCACTTATACAATTTCGATATACAAAAAGATACTCGGCTATATACAAATATATACGTAAACAAACAACCTTCACAATTAGCAAGAATCATGCTGTCGGCAAGTATTGTCTCTACTTTCTTTCTTTCGTTTACTTGCTTTTTACCGTATCGTACAACGGGGGAGAGATTTACGTCAAAAGAATTAAAATGAAATCGTATTTGCAGATTATGAGTTATGTGGCAGGCGAAGAGA